GGACGGGCGTGCAGCCACGTGGCCCTTGACAGCTGGGGGAGGACACCCGAGGTGCTGCCACGCGGCCCTGCCCAGGCTGGCCCTGCACGGCCAGGACGCCCCGCTGGGACGGCCCTGCTCTCCTGGGTCCGGGGGTTCCAGGGGTGTCGTGCGTTTCCGCAGCAGAAGCCACACAGCAGAACGGTCACCGTTGCGGCCGCTTTAGCCTGTCCACTCAGTAGCACACCGTGAGCAGCCACCCCAGCCTGCGGCCCTGTCTCAGTTTCCTTATCTGTCTGCGAGCACAGCAGCAGGCGCAGGGCACCAGCGTAGCCAGCCACAGGCGGGTCCGGGCTCCCTGGTGGCATGGCTGTCCCCAGCACTGGGCAGTCCCGCAGGGCCTCCCCAGAAGAGCGCCAGGCGCCGGGGACCCCTCCTCACTGCCCTGCCCTCCAGGTCTGTGTGCGCCCGGGCACCCTGAGCCTCGCTCCCCGGCAGGGTGACAGGGCCCACGCGGGCTGTCCTCGGGTTCTGCAGAAGCCCACTGAGTTGAGGGCTCCTGAGCAAGTGGCTTACGGAGGAGGGATGTGCAGGTGAGGGGACCGGTGAGGGGAGGAGTGAGGAGGTGAAGGGACAGGTGAGGGGATGGATGAGGAGGTGAGGGGACAGGTGAGGGGATGGATGAGGAGGTGAGGGGACAGGTGAGGGGATGGATGAGGAGGTGAGGGGACAGGTGAGGGGATAGATGAGGAGGTGAGAGGATGGGTGAGGGGACAGGTGAGGGGATGGATGAGGAGGTGAGGGGACAGGTGAGGTGAGGGGATGGGTGAGCAGGTGAGGGGACAGGTGAGGAGGTGAGGGGATAGGTGAGGTGAGGGGACAGGGGAGGAGAGGGGACAGGTGAGGAGGTGAGGGAACGGGTGAGAGGACAGGTGAGATGAGGAGATGGGTGAGGAGATAAAGGGATGGGTGAGGAGGTGAGGGGACAGGTGAGGAAGTGATAGGACAGGTGAGGTGAGGAGATGGGTGAGGAGATAAAGGGATGGGTGAGGAGGTGAGGGGACAGGTGAGGAAGTGAGAGGACAGGCGAGATGAGGGGATGGGTGAAGAGATAAAGGGATGGGTGAGGAGGTGAGGGGACATGTGAGGAAGTGAGAGGACAGGCAAAATGAGGAGATGGGTGAGGAGATAAAGGGATGGGTGAGGAGCTGAGGGGACAGGTGAGGAACTGAGGACAGGTGAGGTGACGAGATGGGTGAGGAGATAAAGGGGTGGGTGAGGAGGTGAGGGGACAGGTGAGGAGATGAGGAGATGGGTGAGGAGAAAAAGGGATGGGTGAGGAGGTGAGGGGACAGGTGAGGAGGTGAGGGGACAGGGCAGGGCGGGACAGGGCTGGCAGGTTGGAGATGGGGGCCTGGTGGGTGGGGCTCCCTAACCCAGCCCCCAGGGTCCTGGGACAAGGTCCCTGTGCCTCCGGATGGGCTGCAGCGTTGGCTGCTGGGAGCCAGGGTGCCCCGAGGCGGGGGGTGTGGGGGTGCAGGAGAGAGTCAGGGGTCTGGGTAGGGCTTCAAGGACCCCGCTGGGCCGCCCCTGGTCCCCTCACCTGACCGCCAGTTCCTGGGGAAAAGCCAGCACAGGGCAGGTGCCACCTGCCCCACAGAGCCGCCGCGGCCACTGCGCTCTGCAGAGAGGAAGTCGGCCTTTCGGGGGATTTCCAGACAGGGACCGTTTTCAGGGAGTGCACAGAGGCCTCTGAAAGGTCGGCCCTTTATCAAATGAGTCACCAGAGGTCGGGCGAGGGCGGGGTCGCCGCAGGCTGCAGGTCCCTGCAGGTCCAAGCCTGGGCGTGTATGCTGGGGGGCGCGTCAGGCCCCCAGCCTCCTCCTGGCCCCACAGCGCCATGGGCAGTGCCCTGTGCCCTCCTCGGACCGAGGGTCCTCCTGCCTCAGCATCGCGCCCCGACCTTGACCTGGGACCCACCAGAGCCCAGGCCGGGGTCCCCAGACGCCCCTGGACAGGTGGTTGTGGGCGCCGAGTGGGGACTGGCCCCGGGCCCTGGCGGGGCGCAAGGGCGTCAGGACCCCGCTGGGCTCAGCCGACGCCCGCTTCCAGGCGAGGCCGGGCTCCCTCTGGGGCCTTTTCAGGAGGCCGGCGCCAGGACGGGTCTGCGAGCCAGAGTCCCCCTTACCCCACTCCTGGGCCGAAATCCCCCCAGGGTGGGTGCGCCCCGTCCCCAGTGCACAGTCTTCCTCGCCGTGGGGACAAGCGTCAGAATGATCCTGTCTTTAACAGGCGGTCTCCAGGCTGGGCCAGCGCAAGTCCCAGCTGTCGTCTGTCAATTAGCTCAGGCCCCACAGCCCAGGTTGCCTGTCCGAGTTCTTTCCAGAATGTTCTGAGCCCTCCCCCCCCCCCCCCCCGGCCCTTGGTGCTTGTTCTGAGGCTAAGTGGCTTTGCTTGATGCCGTGGGGACAAGCGTCAGAATGATCCTGTCTTTAACAGGCGGTCTCCAGGCTGGGCCAGCGCAAGTCCCAGCTGTCGTCTGTCAATTAGCTCAGGCCCCACAGCCCAGGTTGCCTGTCCGAGTTCTTTCCAGAATGTTCTGAGCCCTCCCCCCCCCCCCCCCCCCCTCAATTAGCTCAGGCCCCACAGCCCAGGTTGCCTGTCCGAGTTCTTTCCAGAATGTTCTGAGCCCTCCCCCCCCCCCCCCCCGGCCCTTGGTGCTTGTTCTGAGGCTAAGTGGCTTTGCTTGATGCCACTTCTTCTGCCCCAGTGTCACACCTGGGAGGGCCAGCCCGGATGGGCCGGCTTGGGGCGCACGCAGCCCTGGTGTCCAGCGCGTGCACCACGTGGCCCTCCCTGAGCCGGAGTCTCCGCCAGGGCCGCTGCGCTCTGTCTCCGGGACCCGGTCTCACCCGCGGGTTCTGTGGGCTGGCGCAGTCTCTCTGGAGCTGGGGCTTCTGCTGAGCAGGGCCGGGCCCTCCAGCACCTTCCGGAAGGCGTGAGAGGCGTGTGCCGCAGTGTCGGCCGGGCTTGGGAGCGCCAGGGTGGCGAAGCCGGACCTCCCAGGTCCCTGTCCTGCAGGAAGCTTCCAGACAGCACCCACCTCAGAGCCCCCGCTGACCTCCGACCCCACTTATCCCTGGCCCCACTCACCTCTGACCCTGCTGACCTCACTCTCCTCCCACATCTTGCAGGAACGTGTCCCTAGAAACCATCCAGGGAGCAGTTCCGGGAGCTGAACCCGTGGTGTTAGCATCTTAAAGGCCTGACCTACCCCTGGCTGAGGGATGTCACCCGGGGCTGCCTGAGACCCGTGTCCCCAGGGCGGTGGGGTCTGCGGAGCACAGCCCACGGGGACCCGCTGGCGTTTCTGCCCTGCGCCGTCCACGCCCACACACAGCTGCTCTCTGTGGCGGGAGCAAATCGGTCTCAGACACTGCAGTGGGAGGAACCGTGGCCACCCCAAAAGTCACACCCACCTGGAACCGCAGAGTGCGACCTCCCTTGGAAATAGGGTCTTTGCAGATGTGACCAAGTTAGGCGTCTTGAGACGAGGTCATCCTGCATCACCTGGGGGGGGGGTGGCAAGTCCAAAGGCAGCGTGGAGGACGCCGAGAATCCCACACCACCGGGTGCTGGCACAGGGGCGAGTCCAAAGGCAGCGTGGAGGACGCCGAGAATGCCACACCACCGGGTGCTGGGACAGGGGCCTGGACGGTGTCCCTCGCGCTTCCCAGAGGGACCAGCCCCATCCATTCTCCATCTCGGACTTCGGACCCCAGAGCTGCGAGAGAGTCATCTCTGCTCTCTTGAGCCACCCGGCACGTGCTCACTGGTGGCGCCGGCAGCAGGGACGGGCAGAGACCCTCAGTGCAGCCCCCACCCCACCCCCGCCCGGGCCGTGGGCTGGGCCCCCGCCAGCGAGGCTGGGCACTGCGCCCGCGTCGCAGGTTCCCGCTCAGCCTGGGACTTCTGTGAGCCCTGCGGAGATGCGGGTCCCGGCAGCGATCGGAGGGCCGGAGGCTGTGTGCGTCCTCACCAGCCCAGGGCGGCGCTGAGCCAGTGCTGAGCTGCTCCCTCTGCCCTCGGGGTCGCCTGGGGACTTTGGGAAGTGCCGGTGCCGGGACCCTCCCCGCCATCCTGGGTGGGCTGGCCGGGTGTGGCTGGGACCCCAGGACCTGACCCGAGGGCCAGCCTTCGGGGTTCCCCGGCTGGCCGCGCTGCAGAGGGCTGCTGCCAGCCCCCCCCCCCCCACAACAGCGGAGGAATCTGCCGCGCGGGGCAGGGCAGCCGCGGTCACGGGGAGGCGGCGGCGGACCCGAGGCTGGCAGGGTTCAGGTGAGACCTGGAGAGGCGGGAGGAGAGGCCGGGCAGCGGGAAGCCTAGGGGGGTTCTCTCCATCCCCCGTGGGCGTCGGGGGTCAAGGGGGGCGCCTCTGGGGCTGCGGACGCCAGCCCGCTCCTCCGGGCCACAGGGCCCCGCTAGCCCAGCGCCCAGCGCCCCCAAGTTCGGAGCACGTGCCGCAGGGTGGGCGAGGCCGCTGCCGGAGAGGAGAAGCGCAGAGCACGCCGGACGCAGGGGCAGCGGGGTCCGTGTGTCCCAGGCCACAGCGCGGCCCGAGGCCGGCGGTCTGGACACACGGTCTCCGGAAACTCGCAGGGCTTGCGGGGGTGGGCGCGGGGCTGGTTTCAGGCAGGGCGGAAGCCGACCCCTCTCGGTGGCAGAATCAAGGAAGGAGCCGTTCCCCTCTCAGCCCCGTCGTCCTCCGCCTCCCGTCCCCACACCAGCAGGAGGTGGCAGGGCCGTCCCCACACCAGCAGGAGGTGGCAGGGCCATCTCCACGCCAGCAGGAGGTGACAGGGACGTCCCCACGCCAGCAGGAGGTGACAGGGCCATCTCCACGCCAGCAGGAGGTGCGGGCCGCCCCAGACCGGCCAGCAGGAGGTGACAGGGCCATCCCTTCCACGCCCAGCAGGAGTGACAGGGACGTCCGCCATGGCGCAGCAGAGAGGGTGACAGGGATGTCCCACACCAGGCAGGAGGTGACGGGCCATCCGACTGGCACAGCCCAGCAGGAGGTGACGGGCCGTCCACACCAGCAGAGTGGCCAGGGGCCGCACATAAGCAGGAGGTGGCAGGGCCGTGCCCCACACCAGCAAGGCAGGTGACAGCGGCCTCCACACCAGCAGCGAGGTGATCAGGGCCGCCCCCACACGCAGCAGGAGGTGCATGCAGTGCCGTCCCCCACCAGCAGGAGGTGGGCAAGTGGCCGTCGCGCCACACAGCAGGAGGTGACAGGGCGAACAAAAAAAAAAAAACATCCCCGACGCCAGCAGGAG